GATGGAGTCACTGAAGCAGTTGGTGTGAGCTTGAGTGGACTCCATCTAGCCACCTCATCCTCTGCCGTCCCCTTCTTCTTTTGCCATCAATTGTTCCCAGCATTAGGCTCTTCTCCAGGGAGTCCTTCCTTCTCATTAGGTGGCCAAAGAATTTGAGTTTCATCTTCAGTATCTGGCCTTCTAAAGAGCAGTCAGGGTTGATCTCTAAGTCTGACTGGTTTGATCTTTCAGTCCAAGGGACTCTCAGGAGTCTCCGCCAGCACCACAATTCAAAGGCCTCAATTCTTTGGCTCTTAGCCTTCCTTATGATCCAACTTTCACAGCCATACACTGCAACTGCGAAAACCATAGCCTTGACTATACACACTTTTGTTGGCAGGGTGTTGTCTCTGCTTTTAGTATGCTGTCTAGATTTGCCATAGCTTTCTTCCCAAGGGGCAAGTGTCTTAATTTCTTGGCTGCAGTCCCTGTCTGTGGTGATCTTGGAGCCCAGGAAAATGAAATCAGTCACTACCTCCATTTCTTCCCCATCTATTTGCCAGGAAGTGAGAGGACCGGATGCCATGATCTTAGTTTTCTTAATGTTGAGTTTTAAGCCAACTTTTGCGCTCTCCTCCTTCACCCGCATCAAGAGGCTCTTTAGGTCCTCTTCACTTTCTGCCATTAGAGTGGTATCATCTGCATCTCTGAGGTTGTTGATATTTCTCCTGGCAATCTTAATTCCAACTGGTGATTCATCCAGCTCCCCCTTTCTCATGATATGCTCTGCATATAAGTTAAATAGGCAGGGCTACAGTATACAGCCTTGCCAAACTCCTTTCCCAATTTGCAACCAATCAGTGGTTCCGTGTCCAGTTCTCACTGTTGCTTCTTGACCCACATATAGGTTTCTCAAGAGACAAATAAGATGGTTTGGTACTCCCATCTCTTTAAGAACTTGCCACAATTTGTTGTGATCCACACAATCAAAGGCTTTAGCATAGTCAATGAAGCAGAAGTAGATGTTTTTCTGGAGCTCCCTAGCTTTCTCCATGATGCAGCGTATGTTGGCAGTTTGATCTTTAGTTCCTCTCCCTCTTCAAAATCCTGCCTGTACTTCTGGTAGTTCTTGGTCCACATACTGCTGGAGCCTAGCTTGTAGGATTTTGAGCATAACTTTGCTAGCATGTGAAATGAGTGCAATGGTGTGGTAGTTTGAACATTCTTTGGCATTGCCCTTCTTTGGGATCGGAATGTAAACTGACCTTTTCCAATCCTGTGGCCACTGTTGAGTTTTCCAAATTTGCTGGCATATTGAGTGTAGCACTTTTATTGCATCATCTTTTAGGATTTTGAATAGCTCAGCTGGAATACTGTCACCTCCACTAGCTTTGTTGTTGCTCAGACTTCCTAAGGCCCATTTGACTTAACATTCCAGGATGTCTGGTTCAAGGTCAGTGACCATGCCATCGTGCCATTGTGGTTATCAGGGACGTTAACCTCTTTCTTGTATAGAAACATAGAAACAGAGGGAGTCAGAAGGGGCCTCCCGGGCCATCTAGTCTGACCTTCAGCACCAGCTGGCTCCGCTCACGACATGCCCACCATGTGGACGATAGAAAGAAGGAAGAAGTTCTTCTGTGTAATCTTGCCATCTCTTCTTAATCTCTTCTGCCTCTGTTAGATCCCTGCCATTTTGGTCCTTTATCATGCCCATCTTTGCATGAAACGTTCCCTTCATATCTCCAATTTTCTTGAAGAGATCTCTGGTCCTCCTTATTCTATTGTTTTCTTCTATTTCTTTGCACTGTTCATTTAAGAAGGCATTCTTATCTATTCTCTGGAATTCTGCATTGAATTGGGTGTATCTTTCTCCCTTGCCTTTCTCATCCCTCTGAACTTTGGTTTGCTCTAATTGTGAAAATAAATAACTGGACTGAAGACTTCAACTAGCAGAGAATGTGGCTAAGGACCCTGCATTTGAAATCCATAGTCAATGTTTTAGAGCAAAGGTTGGGAATATTTCTTTTCTGTTGAGAGGACCATAATCCCATGGAGGTATTAACAAATAAATACATCTAGTGGTGGGTGGAATGGAAACCAGCAGTTAGCAGAGCCAGAGCCAAAAATGGCCCCTTTTATCTCTGTGCCACAGAAAATGTGCCTTTCCCCAGCCCAGCTATCTGTGTGGGCATGTCTTCCAGCCCAAACTGCTAGAGGAAGGACAGAACTCTTGCCAGAGCTATGGAGTGATTACTTGCAGAGGGTTTTGAACTGAGTCTGAGAGTGCCCCTGGTTTAGAGGGAAGGCATGAATGCAAAGCAGGACTATCAGAATGCGTTAATCCCATGTTCTTCATACTCGCTTTTCAGCTGCCTCAAGACCTGAACTTGGCCCTTGGCTCTTTGGGCCATGGCAATGTAATGTTCCCCCGACTCCCATCGGCCTATTTCCCAGGTTGAGCCCAGCTTACTGCTCAGCCCTCAAAACATCCCTGAGTAATGAGTGGACATGCATGCTGTTTTCTGTGAAAGGGTAGGAATCAGGTTGATGGAAAAAGCAAATGGAGGTCTGATCATTCCAGAGAAGAAGGATGTGTGCATTCCCTTTCTCTAGCCCCCTTCTTTTCAGACTGTGCTTCATTGAGAGAAGCTGGAGGTAAAACTTGCTAGATGGGGTCTTTTGGCTTGGCTTCTGAAAATCTCTGGTGAGGAGGGGTAGGCAGAAGGTGCCTGGGTAGCATCCATGGCTCAGAGTGATAGTGTGGAGGACAAACCTAGCAACCCAGAGCTAGTTGCCACAACAAAATTTTAAAGGTACCAGAGGCAATTGGTCCTTATGCTTTTT